GAATTATTCTATATGTGACATTAATTTGCTTTGCCACTTGACATTTAACTAAGATTATAATCACAAACATTTTAGTTTTAATTGGATTTTATATTCTTCTTCTTCTTATTTTATGCATTCACACCTATGTTTCAATTCCCTCACCGGATATATCTTCCTATCTTCCATATATATATATATATATGATGTAATTTTGTCCAAAGCTGGTAATGCGTGGTTTCATAAACAGAAATACAAAGTGTTATGCACATGTGATAAATTTTTGACGAGCGGCAAGAATATCAGAAAATGTTTTTCGTATGGGAAGATTCACTAACGAAGTACCTACCGTTCCCGGGACGCTTAGTACCATAAATATGGTAAGATTGAGCACACGAAGTCCGTTTACCGAAGTTCGAATACTTTTATTAGTCAGGATTCATATGGTTCTCCTGATTTGTCTGGTAAAATACAGTCATTATCTCTTTCAGCATTTCACAATGCTACGTCTCATCCCATGAAAATCCCCACTACATGTTCAGGCAAGTCTTACTCTTTAACACTTGGTACTGGGAGTACTTAGTCTATAATTTCTAAGTAAGATTTACTGTCACTTTGTAAGCACGTCCAGGTAAACCCTACTACCTGTTCAGTTACAAGCATTACTGGTGATAAACTACCTCGTATTGGTACTGTTGACATTACTTTGAAATCAGAAAGTGGTATTCTTGTAAATATTCCCTTCCTTGTTAGTGAATATGCTCAGTCCTTATTGGTATTATAGGCCCTTAAATTGTAGAATGTCCAAATATCGCTTTGCAATAAGATATTTAATGAGTCTTAGCTCGGCTAATCAGCTGTACAATGTTCAAAGTGTGTAGGTGGCAAACCTAATGCATCAAGTTCTGATCAACCATCATAATTAACTGGTTGTAAAAATAGTAAAAATTCTAAGAAGGATGAGTATACCTTAAAGCTAGAAGCTGAAGTTGAGCATTTCAAATCAGAAATCTATGCTTTACGTAGTTCAGAAGTCCACGTACGCAATCAGGTCTAACAGTTTCTTGGTACTGGACGAACATATTGATCAGAGAGTGGTCAGGCTCAACAGTAATCTGAAAGTCTGTAGGTCAAGTTAAACTGATTAACTCGGTGTTTTCAAGAGGATCATGCAAGTTTACAAGCAGTTGAGAAAAGTCCTACTAAAGAGAGGAAACACTGTTTACTTTTGGAAGAAAAATTCAAATGGCAAAGTAGCAGGAGAGAAAACTTTAGAAACTGTATCTAGAGGACCCATTACTTCTAAAGCGATGGACTATAAAGCTTCACTGACTGAAATACGCAGCAGGTCATTTGTTTTTTCTGATGCTGTTAGAGCTAAAGTTCGTAAAAGCAAAAAAGTATGCACAAAAATTTGACGTGAATTAGAATTGGAAAGTCTTGCAAAGGCAGTAGTTGCTAAAACAATCAACTTTCATCATTAAATGTGGGATGTTTTTTTCTCATGGATTAAATGAATCATGTAATAATTCATCTAAAGAGAAAAGCGAAAGTGAACGAATAAAAATATCCACTTCTATGCCTTTAGATCAACATATAACTTGAGCACACGTCTTCAAAAGCTGGATCAGGTGGAAATATGTGAAGTAGTTCGCTTCTATTATAATTTTAATGATTCCGCTACTAATTTAATTCAATTTTAGATTTTCCAGTCGATTGATTGGACCGAAGTGCTCAGTCTCAGGTTTACATGTCGGCTCCTTGTGCAGATGCTTCGACGACGTCCGCTACTAATCTTAGTTCCATAGATAATTCAGATGTAAACTCAAATGATTTCGGTGAAATAATAGCACAGAATCAGTTAGGAGGTCTGAAAGACTTGAGAGAAAACCGTGAATTTGACATTTGACATGTGGCGGATGTGGCAATTAACATTTTCTATTACTGCACTGCATAAATATCAAGTGTTGTTTGTCAGCATTTATTGCATTCATTCCTGACTTCTCTTCTCTCTGTGTTGTTCTCTGATTTCCTGGAATTCAGTCATTTTGAAATGCGACTACAAAATAACTGTCACCAGTATCTTAACAATGAAAAAAGGAATACTATAAACCATATCACTAAGATTTATGAATGCAATAAGTTTATGCAATGGATGATGACTGAAGGGGAACTGATGGCTTGTGTTGCAGAAGGCTTGGAAGAAAGGACTTCTGGGTAATTGATCCAGCGCTGTACCTACTGGGTGCAGCAGCTTACTTGGTAAAAGACATGGTCATTAATCATTCCGAAAGCTGACGTCTACATTTCATACTAAGCAGACATTAATCTTAAAGATAATAGTGACAAATTTAAGACTATCCCAGATAGTTTCATCAACTTAAGCCGGTGAAGGATGACAGTGGAAAGTCACTCACCAAAGAAGTGGAGCAAAGGAAACACTGGGCTGAACACTTCAAAAGACTCCTAAATCGACCGCCACCTACAACGCGCCCAACAATGCCAACAACGGAGACAGAGCTACCAGTGAACACCAACACCCCGACGAAATCAGAAGTCCTGAAGGCAATCAAGATGTTAAAAGCTGGAAAAGCAGCAGGACCAGACGGAATTCCAGCAGAAGCATTGAAAATGGATCCGGAGACAACAGCAGGCTTGATGACGCCACTACTGGAGAAGGTGTGGAAAGAAGGCAAAGTACCCGAGGATTGGAAGAAAGGCTACTTATTCAAACTACCAAAGAAAGGAGACCTACGTCAATGCAAGAACTGGCGCGGAATTATGCTCCTGTCCATCCCAAGCAAAATACTAAGCCGCATCATCCTGGTGAGAATCAAACATGCCACCCTGGATGAAAAACTTCGACCGGAACAGGCTGGATTCGGGAGGAACAAGTCATGCATTGACCAGATCGCCACATTACGGATCATCATTGAGCAAAGCTTAGAGTGGCAGTCACCTCTCTATCTCAACTTCATCGACTTTGAAAAGGCCTTCGACAGCGTCGATCGAGAGGTGATTTGGAAACTACTTCGCTACTACGGGGTGCCACCGACAATTATACATCTCATCCAACAGCTATACGACAATGCTGCATGCCAAGTAATCCACAACGGGGAACTTACGGAACCCTTCGAAGTGAGGACAGGAGTAAGACAAGCTGGCTGCCTACTATCGCCAATGATTTTCCTGATTGCAGTAGACTGGATAGTGCGACAAACAGTGGGCAATGAGGAAAAGAGCATAAAATGGACTCATAAAAGAAACTTGGAGGATCTGGACTTCGCCTATGATATATGTCTGATTTCCCACAAACTGGAAGATATGCAAGCAAAAAGCAACAAGTTGGCAGAAGAAGCATCAACAATAGGACTTCAGGTGAACATAGAGAAAACAGAGGTAATGAAGATACCTGGGCAACACCACCAACAGAAACAACAACAGACAGCAATCAGCATAAATGGAAGGAACCTGAAAGAAACTACCTCCTTTACCTACTTGGGAAGCATTGTTTCAAATACAGGCGGACAGTACTGACGAGGATATCAAGGCAAGAATCGGAAAAGCAAGACAAGCTTTCATTACTCTCAAGTCTGTGTGGAGGTCAACAGCACTCAGCATCAAAAATAAGATCCTGATTTTCAACTCCAATGTGAAGTCAGTGCTACTATACGGATCAGACACTTGCACTACGCGTCATAAAGAGCATCTCAAACAAACTACAGACATTCATTAACAGTTGTCTTCGCTCAATACTCAAGATCAGATGGCCGGTCAGAAAAGATGAGCAACAGGGATCTCTGGGAGCGAACCAACCAGGAACCGATTGTGAAACAAATATGCAGAAGGAAATGGAGATGGATTGGCCATACTCTGAGGAAACCATCAACTGACATCACTAGACAAGCCATTGCTCCAATGGAACCCGAGGGGAAGCGGCGAGTTGTTCGTCAGTGCAAGAGTGACATGGAGGAGGTCATGTGAAGAGGAGATGAAAATGTGTGGACAGACTTGGAGCCAGGTAAAGACTCTAGCAGAGAACCGAACGCAATGGAGACGCACGGCTGAAGCCCTATGTTCCTTTGGAATTAAAGGAAACAATAATAATACTTTTTACTGCTAACTGTTTCTTTTCACATTGAAGGGATCACATTATTCACTTAATCTTATCACTTCTTGTAGTATGATGTTTAAGTCAGTATATCATCTCAGGAATATTTAACAATTAAATAGCAGTTGCTTATGTGCCGATTGTATTTTATTGTTTTATTTCTATTTGTCCTAAACTGACCTGGAACGATACAGTCAAAATCATGCACATTTTTCTTTTCCATTTCCTTTGAAAAAAATAGGACGTCAAATGACAAATTTCTTTGTTTTATCTTAAAACTTTGACCATTTTCAACATTATGTCATAATAATGTACTTGACTTCGATTTCTTTTACTTGTTGAGGGGTGTTCTTGATAAATGTTAAGATGGGTTTTTTTCGGGTATTCCATTGATTTCAGTGGTAATATCAAGTCATGTGTTCATGTGTGTACAACAGTGTGTGTGATAATTTCAAAGTAGTTAACTGATTTCAGAGGTTGTATGAACCAAAACTGTTTTTTATGATGTTTAGTTATATGAACTACCAAAAGAAGTTTTCTTTGCGCAGTTATAACTATATAATAATAATGATAATTCTCAAGTTATCTCCCTGCATATTCCTTTGACGAACATATGCACATACGCATCCATACAAGTGATGCAATAAGTGAATACAAAAATTGATTGGGTGCCTTAAAAATTCTGGTATCTATTGTCTAGTATTAGAAGGGAAAAATAACCATTCAATTATCCGCCCACAAATACGCACAGTGATGTGTTTATTCACATTACTATGTTGCACTGCACCCATTGGTAAGTGGATGTGAAATCCAATAGTTGGTTTAACTTATTGCCTCATCGATTTTAGGCGAATAAGCGTATTGAGTGCGTCTGTTTGTTAGGATTTGTTGTGCTAGCTAAGCATGCACACACACGCACAAAACTGATACACACAAAGGCCTATATGTGTTAGCCCCTATTTGACTTCTTTTCATCTATTAGTTTGTTAACATTACAAATCAAGGCAATAGAACAGTAAGTGTAGGAAATACAGATTTAGTGTATAGCTGTTTGCCTTATGGAAAGCTGATTACATGCGTGTGTAGGTATATTTAAAATAGTGGAAGAAATTAGAAAGAAAAGTATTTCTCACCTATCCACATTGTGAACGTCATCAGTTTTATCAATACTGATAACAGAAACAGTAGTAGTGTAATAATAAAAACAAAGTAACCAGAAAAATCAAACGGAGTTCTTTTGTTATTGCTGCTGATGTTTGTTGGGTTCATTCAATCATCATAGAGTTTATTCACATACATATTCTTAATTAATCATAAAATAAATCTATCAACTCAGCTGTTTACTTTGACAGTTTCAGAATTCGTTTGAAGGGTACTATCTCATAATTTCTTTGCAAACAAAATACTGATAGTTTGAGATAACAGTAATAACAAAAAGAACAAATCTACTTTCGTGTTATTGATTTTATTGAAAGTATGGAGACAGCATTCTCTAAAACAGTCGAAGAAGTTCTGACCTATTTCGACTCTGATCCAGAAAATGGTCTCAGTGATGAACAGGTTAAGAAACAAACTGCAAAATTTGGTCCCAATGGTAAGTTTTTATGATTAAATGTATCTTTTTAAATAAATGCATGTACTAAAGTAATGAATTTTAAGATGAATTATTCAAAAATTTCATTTGAGATTAATCTTTTAGCACTTATCATAGGCTATTTTCAATTTTCCATGGTTCACTTATGCATTGGGCTAAATGAATATTTTCCAAGGTTATAACTTGGGCCTAGCTTCCCTACTCTATGCTTAAAATGTTGTTTGTAATGGGCCTAAATTGTCAAACATTAAATATTTATGATTTCCTGAAACTGAAAACCTTCTGAGAAAAGTAGCGTATCTCGATAAAGCCTGTCTTCTGAGCAGTGAATTCTTATTTCTGTGGATCGATAACTAATCTCAAGAGAAAATAATTTTATTTTAGGAAAGAGGTTATTGTTAACTGGTGGATGGTGACTAGCAGTGGAATCCAGGATGCGCATTTCGTCCTATTTGGGACTCGTCTTCTGGATGTACCCGCATCGTCACTCACTGCGGAATACGGTTAACGATCCCTAAATAGGACGAAATGCGCATTCTGGATTCCACCAATTAATGCTAATTACATGCTCAGACATCGTCGAAGCATCTGCACAAGAAGCCGACACGTCAACCTGAGACCAAGCACTTCGGTCCAATCAATCGACGGGAAAATCTAAAGTTGAATTAAAGAAGTCATTGTGTCTGAAACTTCTTCATATTTGAAGTATAGCTACAAATGACCACAATATGCTAAAAGTCAAGAATATTTCTGAAATTGACTATCTTTACCTAATAGACTAATGCTTATCCTAAGGTCATCCTCTAAATGAAACTCTATGCAATTTTCGAATTTCTCAACTTTGACACTGAACGAATGAGATAATATGAGACTTCATTTTTCTTACTGAGGCTAATCGCTGTTGATAAATGTTAGAAAATAGTCTTTCAATAGCTTAATCACGTCATTCTAACTGACTTATTATACAGCGCATCTGAACAAAAGTGTCAGCTATGAGTACAAAATATTTATTTCTCACAATGATATAATGACTTTAACTTTTTTATGGGATGTATCAAACTATATTGTCCGAGTTAGCTGGTTTCATTTAACACTTTTTAACAATTTTTAGAATACATCTTCACCATTGCGAAGGATAGTTATTTCGTTCATGGAAAATTTCAAAAGTTGGCTTTATTCTGAAGTTGGTGTTGAAAATACCATCTAGAAAGACAGTGGAACGTTCGCAACTAAACCATCCAACTAAGAGAACAAAAAATAAAACAAGATTGTAGAAAACCGGATCTCTATAAATTTAAGCTAATTCTACTAAAATTAGAGAGTTCAGACTGAAGTGAGCCTGTACCTAGTGTCCAATGATATATATATGTCATTTAAAGCTAGAGAGAGACAATAGTGGTTAGAGTAGAAATTCTGAGAGATTTTAATACCTGTAAGCAAACAACGCGAATAAATGTAAAATCCATGGTGTGTGAGTATCACAATTTGCATTAATATGCTACACGCAGTATAGATTCGACAGGGTCGTACGAATTAGTAGGTGATGTTTAGAAATTGTATGGAAGTTTAAGAACATGAGGTTATTCTTTCACATGGAGGGTATTTGGGGGTGGGGTGCTGAGTCTCTAGTGTTCACAGGATGATACAATGTGGATTTCACTGCGACTTTCAATTGATTTAAAGGGGCAGCTGGATTGTTATTTTGAATAATCAGTAATATTTGTGTAATTGTGTGTGGTTGAGCTATATGGTTTAGTTGTAAAGTATTCATTATCTTCCTAGTCATTGTCTTCGTCGTACAATCTTAAATGACGTGAACTTGTAGTACTCTTATTTCAAATCTCCTCTACCACTAGGTATTATATGTCACTGAGACTTTCAATCTGCTCTGTTCTCAATCAAGTTATGTTATTCGTCTACAACAATTTTTGGAAATCTTACAATCATTCTAATAATATTTAATTAATATTCAATTATTTTATTTAGATTTTTGCTAACATTTGCTTTTTTATTTCATTTCCACAGAACTTCCTGCCGAAGAAAGTGAGTTAACAACTCTAACTAGTTTTTATTGTAATTTAACTAAAAAATATTGTATGGATATCTTATTCAGCTATCTACTGTTCAGTGTAGAGAACACAGAGTTTCTCAGTAAGACGTAGATGTGTTGCTTAAGAGTAGATTTTTATTTGACAGATGCTTCGTGATCTTGATAATTCTTAGGTTTGCCCACATAGTGTTTATGACTGTGCATTTATCATCAGAAAGTTATCACCATGAAACAGTAGGCATTGTCCTGTTGGGGGGCTAAGATGCTTCCTTATTTTCTCGAAGTCCGCTGAAACCAGTCTTATAGCTTTTCTTTAGGCTATTTGAAGTTAATTTTCGTCAGTTGTAGTTTCTTTGTAAGTGAATTAAAACAGTCTCTAAGGAACTACCCATAGTCATTCGACTGAGTAGACAGGCATGCCCTAGAAAGGACTTTTGTGGATAATGTCACTTGTTACACTTGAAATACGAAAAGTATGTTTGACTATTTGCTCAGCTGACAGTCATATTGTAATTAGTTACAGTAAGATGGTATTTTGTACTACTTTAAAAAATGTGTTACTGGTAACCTGAGCCAAGATTTTGTGCAGATGGTAAACACAAAACATCAAAATAAGTTTGAAAACTTCCTAATGATGATATTCTGACATCAAATACAAAGCGGTTTCTCCTGAATCGTCATAAAAAGATCCTATCGAATAAATTATTTAGATATCCTAGAATACGCTGAAAAATGTTATTAAATGGAAGTATAATATTACAGTAGTTGTATCTTTTTCAAATTACAGAATTCACAATAATTTCACTTTATTTCTCTTAGGTAAGGCAATTTGGCAGCTTGTTCTTGAACAATTCGACGATTTACTGGTGAAGATTTTACTACTGGCCGCTATCATTTCATTCGTAAGTATACTTTGAACACTATTGAACACGACTTCGACTTCATGCCCGCTATTAAAGGTGACGAGACAAATTACCACTACCTTGAGTATTACAGACTGTTGTCGACTGACTCATCTAAAGTAATTAAGGTCACCTAACTAGTTTGTTCTTTAAAATGACTGAAGTAAATGAGGCCTAACATGCAGATCAATGAGTTATTTGTATAAAAAAGGGGTGAAGACTTCTTTTATTATTTTTAGAGATGAGAAAAATAAAAACTTTGAAGCTTACAACATTTCTGAGAATCTACCAGTATTAAAGTTGAACAGCTGATCAAATTCGTTAAACTACTAATATTGATGGTATTCAGCAAATTGATTTTTAACTTTACGTAACTTCTGTAATTCCTAATAAGTAAATTTTCCAGTGTTTTTCCGATAACACTTTATCATGTAGCTGCCAAGATACTGCTGAAAAATAACGGAGACATCTTATCATTTTTTTAGCTCAAAAACAGTTTCAGTGTTGACTTGAAAGTATTTTGTTATTTTAAAGTTAAATCACATAGTGAGAATAACTTAAAACCAGGGAGTACTGGACAGCTGTTTCGTAGTAGTTTGGGACTCTCAGAAGATGCGCATTCATCATCCAGGATCTAACTCGTGATCTAATTCCAAAATAGATAAATCCCTAAATACCAACACTTGGAGCACAATCTAATAATTACTAGTGACTAACAACGGGACGAGAATGCCTTGAGTTCTAATCAGAAGTCATGATAAATGGATTACGGTAGGCCGGGTGCGACCACAAATACTTACCATGAATACTGGCAGGTGGTGGTGCTTTAAATCGCAAACTGACAGAGCCTGGGGCTCATGAGTCATTGGATTCTGTCTCAGCGGCTGAACAGCCAGGCGGCTCGCTTTTTAATCTGAAGGTCGCGGGTGTGTAATAGAGAAGAGTCCTAGACAAGAACCAGATAGCTGTCCACTACACTCTGTTTTTCTAGTATTTTATTAGCCGATGTCTATTTGTGTTGAAGTCTAACCTGAAATCCATCAAATTTCTGCAAAGTATATTATTATCATTGTTCCCTTGGGTTCCTAGTGGAACATAGGGCTTCAGCTGCACGTCTCCATTTGTTTCTGTCTTCTGCTGTACTTTTCACCTGCAGCCATGTTATTCCATATTGTTTCAACTCCTCTTCATATGATCTCCTCCATGTCACCCTTGGACGTCCCACTCGCCGCTTCCCTTTCGGGTTCCACTCGAGCACTGGCCTGACGCGCGATGTCACCCAGGGGCCTCCTCGGCAAGTGTCCAATCCATCTCCACCTTCTCCTGCATATTTGTTGGGCGATTGTTTCTTGCTTTGTTTCTTCCCATAGTTTCTTGTTGGTGATTCTTTCCGGCCATCTGATCTTCAGTATAGAGTGAAGACAGCTGTTGATAAAGGTCTGCAACCTGTTGGAAATATTCTTCGTGACCCTCCAAGTTTCTGATCCGTATGGAAGAACTGACTTGACGTTTGTATTGAGAATCCGAATTTTGTTGTCGATGTTGAGTGTTCGTACAATGTACGAAGCTGGAAAGGCTGTCCAGGTAGCCGCAGAAATGAGAGGATATGGAATAGAAGTGTTGGGAATCTGCGAGAGCAGATGGAATGGATGTGGAAGGTGCCAACCATCAACTGGAGAGACAATAATCTGCAAAGTAATGCTTGGAAATTTATTTCAAGTTGAATCGTCACTATGCAGAGCGTACACGGGATATCAACTGTATCTTAAGCTGAGACTTCGAAGGTTATAACTTCTATGTTATTGCTCGCTTCATGTAACATAGGATGAAGAATGTTGGATAATTCTATATAACTAATCCTCCTTCTCAGAAAACATGTATGCTACATATTCTTAATTATTCTTAATTTCAGTATTTTAATTATTATTATTATAGTTATTATTATTACTGTTACAACTACTATTCACTTTACTATCTGACCTCTCTCAACTAAAAACAATAACAATCTAATTTGAACTATTTGAGAATGACAAAGAAATGATATGTAATCCATTTATCGATTGATACATAATGATTTGGATTTTTGCATGCTCATTAAAAAGATGAATACTGTCAAAAAATGGCCCACATTATTCCGCACTGAATGAAATTTTACAATGTAGATCAATAAAAATATATGCGTAATACATGTATACCAAGTTCAGTTCATTTTACAGAAATGATGAAAGACCTAAAATAATAATAATAATAAGGCGTATTTTCTTCACTAAGATTCCCATTGATGAATTTATCTGGATTATTAAAATCAACACATACTATACTACTAACAAATATAATTAGTCACTTATCAGAGGACAGGAGAAATCCAAAGATTCCTTAGTGGATATCATGTCCCAACAGGGAATAGTCACTTCTATTCTATAAAATCAACAATAAGAGGTTGTAATTACAATAAAAAAACTTTCGGTATTTACCAGATTTTTAAATTTTATTCCTTTACATCCCAAGTGGGACATAGGGCTTCAAGCTAAAGCTTTGAAGTTTCTTTAGCAGTGGTTTTATTTTTGAGGGTGGGATTGCCAATCTCACGCCCAACCTTCCCTCTTTGCCGGACCTACTACCGGCTAGACAAGGATTAAGAGTGCGTCGGCCGAGGATCAAACCTCAGACCTTATGCATGGTTGGTGAACATCCCATCGCCGCACAATCGACGCACTTAAACCACCAGGAAGTACTGGACAGCTGTTTCGTCCTAACTTGGGAGTTTTCATTAGTGGGTACTCACCGGGGTCCAGACCCAGGCCCTTCCCGTTACGAGACGAGCTCGTAGATCATTAAGCCACTGGGACCCATTTACCACTAATTATTCCCAAATTTATTTTGGCCAGTTATGTAGATAAATTAAAAGTAAAAGGCCATTAATGCATGTTAATAAAACGTTATACTGGATATCATCAAGAAATGATGATAGATGACATTGCGTATATAGAAGGGATGAAGTTCAAATATTGGTTCAAATACCGGTTGATAACATTTGCACCTTAATCGAAATCTAAGAAGTTGGACGGTTATAATTTCGGCAGGAATTCAAAATTCAACACATAATGGCTTGTCATCTTGATAATTTGTTAATATCAAAGCCACTGAAAATTATGAAGTCATAAATATCTTCAAGTATTGGTTTGTAAGGATTAGACTGATTGATTACAGGATTTCATCATGAGCTGACATCGCTTAGAGAACCATTGGAAAACCTGGGAGTACTGGACAGCTGTTTCATCCTAGTTCGGGACTCTTCATCAGTACTCATCCACAGGTGCTCGAACCCAGGACCCTCTGATCACAAGGCCAGTGACCCCGTAGATCATTAATCCATTGGTTTCCGATCCAATGGCCAGCCCATGACTTCCAACTTCTGCCAGTTCACGACATAGTGCGACCACTGGCCAATATCTTCGGCCGAACTGGTGACGACGTCCCCCTAGAAACCTGGGTAACTACCTACCTGAATAGGGTCAGTCGCTAGTGGGCATCTCATAAATATCTTCCCATTAGATCACGTCACTATTTATAGTATAAATGTATTTTATTGCACACCAATCAAGATGAATGTAATTCAACTACCTAAACTGAATGATGTATAATAGTAAAAGTGAACTATAGAAATAATGACTGACTTGGAGGCAAAGTTATCGTTCCATAAATAAGGCAGAGGATTAAGGGCAGTCAGTATCCACTAACTTGAAATGTGATCACTTATATTTCTTTGTGTCTCATACTGTAATATCAACCACTTAAACGTCTGATTATCAGTATCAGTAAAGCAGTAGCTGCTTAAAAATTGAATATTCGCTTAGCTATGAACTCATGTGACCAATTGCAAAGTTAATTATGACATGACGAAAATCACAGATGACTGAGCGTCATTCCACAGCTCATAATAATCACAATGAATTGAAATATTTTCGATATTAAAAGAAATTTCCGATTTCTGTGTCACAAACCTTTCTGAACACTAGAGAGGGTAGCTGGATATCTCCATAATATTGTTTCTTTTAATAATGAGATTTTCCAGAGAATACTGAGGACACCACTTGCAATCACCGTGGTTTTAAGAATTGATGTGTTGACTAAACAGTGCTAAAATTAGTTATCTTGCTTATCTATTTTATCATTTATATTTCTTCGCATTCCCATATTTACAATTTAGGTTCTCGCTTTATTTGAAGAGAGTGAAGAAAGCATTAGTGCATTTGTTGAACCACTTGTCATCTTGCTTATCTTGGTTGCTAATGCAATCATTGGTGTATGGCAGGTAAGTGAATTCGTTCTCTGTGTTTTATTATTTGATGTCAGTAGTATTGGTAGAAATCAGTATTGATTTCTATAGAAATTTGCTTATTTGACTTGGCATATAATGTGACTTCATCCTCTTGCTTACTCCTGAAGTCAAATCCAAGTAGATTCGCTGATACACTAATTGCTTGAGTACTTTTGTGACACGAAACCATCTCTAACAAGTAATGTAACTGGGATTTGGCTGACATAAATTGAACTAGTTGATGAATTATCCCTAATATCCTGACTTTTATGTGTACATGAACGGTTAGCTTTAGGCTCAGTTCTAAGCGTGTCATGAACCATTGTTAGATTATGAAAGTTTATTAAAGCAGAAGTTAGCAAAACAGCCTTCACTGAGGTGTTTCCGAAGAATGGATTGATATTGAGAGTGGGTATTACACAAGATTGGCTTCAGCCATAATACTGCTGAAAACCACAAAGAAGCAAAGTTGTTATGCTTTAGCTGATAACTTCTCAAGGGCTCATGTTCCGTGACAATAGTGAATTGTACACATATTTTAGTTGTACTGCTTGACTATAAATAATACGACTGCTACGTTTTCCAACGGAAGCTTATTCGCGATGTGGTCTCCCTATAATCATTCATATTTATCGACCGGTGGTCGCCTACAAATCCAACTTAGTTCGCACAACTTTTCATGAATGCGCATAAAGAATTTATGAAACTCAAATTAAGTAAACAGTGAGCACTTCTGTACAGATTAGAGCACTTTAATGTATATATATATATACGAATGATATTTTAGGTGAAGAGATGATGTTTCTACTCTTTGAACGTGAATAAAAACGGTGAAGTAGCATTCCAAAGTCTACTTTTTCCAGTTATGTATCATTCATATTTAATCTACATAAAAAGGCCCTTTTCCCAGAAACAGATTAATTCAGAAAGAGTTGGGATTAAGTGGATATATTGTCTCGTGGTTTACTGGAGACAGACGACACCAGACAGCTGTTTTGTTAAGGACTGATACTGTATAGCGGTCAGTAATCTAGATCCTGTAAAATGTTGAATATCAATGAAGGTCAGCAGTTTTCATGAATCTAGTCTGACTTTTAATAATTAGAGCTCATAAAATATTCTATAGGACTAGTTCTTACCTCTACTCATTAATTAGCTTAACATAAAAGTTCATATTTTTAAAACTTATTTAAATATTTTCTCCATAATTAGGAACGTAATGCTGAGTCAGCTATTGAGGCTCTGAAAGAGTATGAGCCGGAAATAGCTAAAGTATTCCGGAAAAGTCACTATGGTATTCAAAGAATTAAAGCAAGGGAGCTGGTTCCTGGTGATATTGTTGAAGTATCAGGTAAGTAACCCACCCTTGTGGAAATTTTGTTACTTCATGGGTCCGTTTGTTTTCCTTCGCAAGCAAATTTGTTCTTTAATTCAAAAGCACATCTCAGAGTAACAGTGTTTTGTTCAACTAAATCATTAAGAGAAAACAGAGTATTCTAACTAGCAAAAAATTATTATGGAGAGATAATAATATTCTGTAGGACACACAGTACCGCCTCTTTGATTCATAAATATCTATTTGTTTGAAAATCCACAACAGAGGGGACGTGGAACTCAATGAAGCATACCGGTGGAATGCCTGTAATTAAATTTTCAATACAGTAATGTTTTCTAAAGCAATGATTGAGTCATTTTGCAGTTATAGATGTCAACTCGTTTAGTAGTGCAAATGAAATTTACAAAAGAATACTTAAAATGGATATTTTAGCTACCGATTTTAATTATTCTTTAGGGGACAGGCTCGAATTGAAACTTCCTCACTTGAATCGGTTCGGCGGTCACCTGTACGATACATTTCTTTCTCCTTTTAGTTCCACCACTATGATGTTTCTTCTAAATTAGTATCACTGATAGAGAAATACGTCGGTGGCACAGTGGTTAGGACTCTCGCCGACCATGCACATGGTCCGAGGTTCGATCCCCTGCCGACGCACACCCGATATCTATGGTCAGCCTGTAAAATTTGGGCTACCGATATCCATGCTGAAAATTCCATACTTGTACTGAAAATACGGTGTGGCATCAAGCTGTAATCAAAAAAAGAGAAATACGTCAGCGTAGACAACGAGTAGATGTGCGAAAAATATCTATTGGCTGTTCAAATGCTGTACATAGAAACTTAAATGGTTTGAACACGTCTTAAAAGTCTCCATTCTGTCTTGTCAGACTTCTAAATAATCACTTTAAAGTTTTTTGCAACAGTGAAAAAAATATGGCGACTGAATTCCTTCCCTAATGTCTACTTTTAGAAGCCTTGGAAAAGAAAGAATAATACACAGTAGATATTAATCCTGTTATTTGACAGACATTTGACTGTTTCTAAGATGCTACAAGTTCAGACTGTTTCAAATATGTCACAGGAGATTTCATACAGTCTTTTTCAGTAAATCAGTTTAGACAGAAGACTTGGAAAACCATATTTTTAACAGGTCACATATTAAATCTGTAGCAAAGCTTTATTTTATAATCAGCTACCTAAAAGATTAGGCATTAAAAATAAACACGTAAAAATTGATTTCGAAATTCCACTTTTTTCATCCTTCAACCTTGAAATTATCTAAAAACACATTGATTCAATAAAAGATATATGCACATTGAATAATTAAATAAGTTGCCAAAATCTGGGTTATTTTCAATTAGTTCTAATGTTTGCACATATTGGATAAAGGTTTTATAAGGTAAACTGTTAATTCTTGGGATATTTTCAAACTTTGTATTGAAAATTAATTTGTTAATGTTATTTACCGGTGATGAACAAGAATTCGTCAGCTTTAGATAATATTCTTGATACTTTTACCACTGTAGATTGACTTACACACTAACTTTAACCAGTGAAATTTAGATACTTACAGTGAAGCATGCTAAGTTGGAGTCACAGTGGGCGAAAAAGTCACATTTCCGGGGGTTACTCCATACTAATTACAGTTGTACGTTAAACTGAGTGTTTGTCAGGCAAATTCAAGATATGATCAGCTTTCATGAAGAATGTGGTGTGCACAGGTCAAAATGAGTACTATTAAAGTTCTATTAATAACAGTTTAAAGAATTTCTTTAACTGATGTTAGTTAGAAAAATGTTTTGAAAGTTTAGTTACATTGTTATCTCTATCACCTAAGTCCCTGTCGTTTTGAAATCTATATATCTCATCCAACCTTATTCAAATACAAAGAAAACCTAGTCTTGTCCATTAGTAGGCAGAAAGATTAAGAAATCCTAGTCGAAACTAAGTGTGAATAGATTCACTTAACTTGCAACTGTGATCACGTACACTTTTGTATCAATTCTCGATTTTACTGTCAACTAAGAAATAATCATTTTTTTAGATGAAGTGTACTGTTGAAGAGATTCGGTACTTAGAAAACTTGCTGCACCAATATGCTTATCCTGTCCAGTAAAGCACTCCAATGATTCCTGAAAGTTTAATATGAATAACCACATTTTGTGATCTGTGTTTGATAGTCCTCAAAGGGGACTGTTTTCGAAATTGTATGTAACCAGATGGGTAGATTTCAATAGTTAGAAATAGTAACATGAACCTCAAGTAGCTAAGTAGTTATTTACTAGCCTTCTGATATAATCCAGTTTTTACTGTTTCCTAGTAATTTTAAGATATTTCTATCTACCTTCATTATTGGGAATAAAAAGGAGAGTTTCTTCTGATATTGAAACTGTTACTGTTGAACCCTGAAACGGAATTAGCTTGTAAAATCTTTCCCTTCCTCCCAAATTCAATCGAAAAGCTGATTTTCTACAGTCAGCTTGAAACAGGCTGTTTTTAACTTGAATGTATGTTAAACAGAAAGTTGTATGAAATCTAATGTTATAAAGGAAGAAAAATTCATGTGAACAGTATTCGCTACTATGAACTATCTCCAGTAGTTTTGAGATTGGCGAAACCTTTCTGGAATTGTTGTACTTTTTCGTATGAACACGTTGGTGTATGACTGACATTAAAATCTTTGAGAAATGTTTCGTCCACCTGAACTCATTATTTAAATATATTATGTGCGAAGCTAATCATCAGTCTCTTTTAACACTACAGATTTATCTTCTTGATTGACTCATGTTATTTAGCATTGAACCTTCTAATTATTATTTGATGACACTAATATAATCATTTGTTAAGTTGTAAACATTAAGAAAAAGTTTCAATTGAGTACAGAGTGCATATCCACAGTTCACTAATTTATACACCATTTTCATTTTAGTTGGGGACAAAGTGCCTGCAGATCTAAGAATAATCAAGATTATGAGCACAACTCTAAGGATAGATCAGTCTATTCTAACTGGTGAATCAGTGTCCGTTATCAAGTTCACTGATCCTGTACCAGATCCAAGAGCTGTTAATCAAGACAAAAAGAATATTCTCTTCAGTGGAACCAATGTTGCCTCTGGTAAGGCTAAAGGTATTGTCGTTTCAACTGGTCTAATGACTGAAATCGGTAAAATTCGTAATCAGATGATGGATACGGAACAAGAAAAAACACCATTACAACAAAAATTAGATGAATTCGGACAACAATTATCAAAAGTGAGTTGTTTTGCTAAGTTTTCCCAAGTGAGAAATAAAAATATTTGTCCTTCGTCTCATTACTGATTAACCTACGGGTAGCTGTCACTGTTGACAGTAAATCTGAAGTTGCAACGAAATCGTTTATATTATTCAGCGGGAATTGTGATAGTTAGACAGCTATATTTGTGTCCTGAATAGGTTTTGGTTTTGTTGAACAAACGAACTTTTTATAGATGGATAACGATTAACCGATTATCTATTTATCTTCCTGGAGCTCCATTCAGATACGTGTTTTACTGTTTTAGGTGAAATAAATTCAACTAACCAATGTACTAGACTTATCATTAGTCTAGATTTTTAGGGCTGAGCTTCTTTTTTGAGTTGATTTTAGGTCACACAATGGTAATATGGTGGTTGTGAGTAAATTTTAAGCGCCATCTGTCATCCGTCATACTGATAATTTAGTAACTACTAGTTTTACAAACTTCTCTTCACTTAAGTCAAGAAAGGGCTTTGTTGCATGAAATATACTTGGCGGTAAAAACTACCAAATATGTTGAAATTTCTATCGAAAATGTAAAACTAGGAGCGCACTGGAAGTGTAGTAAAAGGAAGGATTTCCCACACAACAATGTCACTTGAATAATCATTCCGACTACTGTTTGTAATCTCTGGAGTCTTTTATGCCATGATAATACTAAGTGCAGATATTTAAATAAAACAAACAAATGAACTTTTTGGCCTACATAGAGTCATTATGGAAAACATTTGAAAATTTTTTGTCACTCCACTGTGCTGTAATTAAAAATTGTTCCTAATTATTGTTGTAGCTTCTCTAGATGTCCACTTTGCCACGATTTTTTTTTCCTTCACGTTCCCCAGTGGAACATAGGGCTTCAAGCTAGTGGCTTGAAGTTTCTGTAGCAGTGTTTATTTTACAGGATGGGGTTGCTAGCCTTATGCCCAACCTTTCCTCTTCACCAGAATTATTTCTGGATTAGCGAGGTAAAGGAGTGCGTCGGCCGGGGATTGAACTTCGGACCATGTGCATGGTCGGCGAGCGTCCTAACCGCTATGCCACGATTACCTAATTCCAACTAACTTATATTCTCTCCCTAATTAGCAAAGCCAGTTACATTTAATTTCAGGTTTAAGATGTTCGTAGTGTTATGCATAAACTGAACATTGCCATGAACAGATCTTAAAAACAGAATTTTATAAAATGCTCAATTATTTGATCTGAAAAGGTTTCTGTGATTTTGGTTAATTTAGTTTCTATTAACAACCACAGAAATTCATAGAACAATTAGCAATCAGAACCAATTTTTTATTGTTCTTACCAACATTTCTTCAGCTGATAATCTGAGCGTAAGTTTGAAACGAAAGCCTAATCCTTAAGACTGGCGACAGTGAATTCACTTTTTACTCTATGAAACTCAGAGAATGTTTCATTATGGCATTCTCAGGTAAAATAAAACACTCCATCAGAGTGCTATGAATTTTACTGACTTCGTGAATTAGCTCTTTTTTAGTCTAAATATTTTGCTTAACAAAAATCCGTAAAGGGAACTGAGTGTATAAATCAAAAGAAAGATGACCAGTTCATCAAATAGTGTGAGTATATCAACACTGATAAGCAGTTTGGTCAGTAAGTTTTAGCTGCAAGGTCAATAAAAACAGAAAGCTGTGTTTGAACGCAGTTATTCGGCATGAAGTTGTGTTTGGACTCCCAGGTAGTGGAAATTTGACTAACCTCTTGCCAAAACGACATCATTTAAACAACAACTGAAAGTTAGACAATAGTAAACACCTGTTTCTTCCTGGTATAAAACTTTTCAGTAGTATACAGTTATTAATTCGGTATGGACTGAGTCCAGAATGTTGTGGCTATGAATCAGTCAAATTGCCATTAGACCACTTCATCAGAATCTTGTTATCTTCAATGTTTGATTTCCGCCATATTACCACTCCCATTTCTTTTTATTAGTGAGTATCTGTTCTCAGGCTGAACTCAGTGACTTCCATCACTCTGCAAACTAAAACATGGTGGGTTCGATCTCTTGTGTGGTGATGACTGTAAATAGTAAGAGTCAAAAGCGACAGTCAAACCATTGTTCCACTGGGTTTCAATAGTTTCACTAGCGGGTGTTGGTTAGCGACAGAATGAATCAAATAAATTTCGTTTCCTAGCAATAACAAAGAAACTTAACGGTTTATCAGTATATTGATAATCCAATTAGTCGCTGGGGAATATGTGGTGCCATCTGTGAAGTCCTTAGTGTTGGTGCTGATTAAATTGAATAGGTCAAGTTTGCGTTGTGGTCACTAGGCTAAGTGACTCAACAAAGCGGTACACTTCTCAGTGACATCAGATGGTTTCAGGAGATCAGTAAGATCTCATAGACTCAGGTCTCGTGCTCGCTGTCACTCGTCAACAAAGTTTATCTGCAGCACCGAAGGAACCAATGTCCGCTAGGAGATTCGGACCCGCATCAACCACTACTGCAGTCAAAGATGTCACCATCGAGATATTCTGGCTAACGACCCACTTCGTGTTGAGCTGTAATGCGTTCACTGACTGGTCACTAGAGAGGAGTCAATTCCACGCAATGTCCTTAGTGTTGATGGTGACTTTATTCTACCAGTCATCAGTTTCTTATGATATTTCAGAGACGCATTGCAAACGAGTGCCAACAACCTTGAAACCTAGATTCTGGAGATCGCCTGTAAATATTTAACATCAATTCAGATTGGTATTCTATCAAATACAATAATCTATCACTTTTACACAAAAATGGGAAAACATTTCTAAACTTCTATCTGGTCGGCTTAAAGATTATTTTGTTCAGTGACTCAACTTGTGAACCACGAAGGCTTTTATACATGTATACTGATATTTTTTCCAGTTACATCTATCACATTTATTGCGTTACATGAAGGAAGAAAGCCTATAAGAAATAATATAATGGATTTTTTTTAATTTCTGCACTACAATTCCCAAAGGATTTATGTTAACTAACCTTTGTTTAACAGTTAATTTGAAAGAGAAGTGTTATTCACTTCAAAATTTATTTCAAGACTGAACACTTATTTGCCTGTTTCTTTCAGAAAGTATATATGAATAACATTTAAACGAAAATGGCTCCTATTTCGCTTCGTATTTTTCACCTTTCCATCTTAACTTTTCACAGCACTTGATCTGTCGAATAACCTAACCTAAACGGCATGGTTTCATTTGTGAGAACTGGCGCATACTTTTAATATGCGCATACTTTAATACACTGTAGGAAGAATAAGAACACGGCAAAAAATGTAAAATAACTATATTAGATTATATATTGTTTATATGGAATTAAATGCGATGGCATTTACGATTCCTGAAAACTATTGATTAGATTTAGCAGTCACCATTTTGTTCCATCTGGCGATTCTGATTGGTCTATTGATTTTTCAGAAGTGTTGTGCATTGGTGATTTGGTTTGATTGATAGGCAAAAAGAAACACATACTGTGATTATAAGGTTGAGGAAGAATATCTAACCTTTCTTTTTTATTTTTCTGTTTTTTCCTTTTTCCCTCTAACTTCTGCTTATGGAATTGATTTAGGTTTGGGTTATTTTAAATCATTACACAGTACAGTGTAAATTGGACTATTAAATTATAAAGATAGATGTGTATGTTCCGATACCATTAGGCGTATGTAGATTTAGATGTGGAAGTATCTCTGTCTCTGTGTATGTTTGCACTGGAATCTTGAATACTTAGGATAGTTTTTTTCTAAAAAAAATGTTAAACTATACAAGCAATTCAGTAAGAATTCTCTGGTTAAAAGTCAGTTCATATATATTTAAGTACACTCATTAAAGTGCATACATTCAGATCAATCATTCAATGGTATAAACTTATTAATTGGAGGGGGCATTAATGTTGACATACCTTGGCGTTTTAATTCAGTTATTAACACTCGTCTGGAGTTTTTTGTTGTTATTCTGTGTCTATTCGGTTTGAAGCTGGTTCTATCGGTCATTTCTAAAAGTATGTTGTTAACAGGAAAAAATTATGAATTACGCACAACATTATATGGTTGTTCATTTCTTTAAGATGACAGGAATTATCTCCATTAGATCACCTCTCTTCTAGTTCAATTAACTGCTTCCGAAATGATGTGATTTCACCTGTGGAGGGCTGAATGTGCCCAGTTTAATTACTGGCTGGCAGATTCACAGTCATTCTATCTGCTACACTTTTAAATAACCGTCTAAAATGATACATCTGTATGACATTCATGGTATTTTCTCTATGGCAAAATATGTAGAACTTAGAGATGGTGAATCTACACTTTATCATTCAGTTACTTTTTCCAAAACTTTATAATCTTGATCAAAACCGTGTTTATCTCTCACTTACGCGTACTACGCGCACTACAGAATATATAAGCCATATACAGTCAAACAAAATACATGAAACAGTCAGTAGAACGTAGAAGTATATTTCTAACAGCAAGACGAAGACTGATTTGTTTATTTCGTCGGTATCTTGTTAGTTGCATGCAACCGAAATAATGAAATTTGACAGTCCTAAATACATATGGCCTAGCGGGAGTATCTATTTCACAGCTCTCCATGAAGACAGTATGCAGTTCAGAAAGGAATAATTTCTCTCTGAGTGTTATGAATGGTTAATTCTTAAGTGATGACTCCTTAAATCCAGTGGTTAAGGAAAGAATCTATTTGGAAGTCGTATTGATTCTTTCTTTATATTGTTTCTATGTCGTGTTCTTTTAAACAGTTTCGGTGAATATTGGTAATGCACCTTACTAGATTGTACCGTATACTTGATTTAAATTTGTGCTGTTCCTTCTGTAAAACAATGAAGGCTATTTTGTCTTTAATCAATTTCTCGATATTTTGGAGATTTCAACCAACTTTTTTCAGAAATGGAAAAAGGAGACATGGTCTGATAAACTCTAGAAATCATTTAAATAGTGAAGAGCTTCTTCCCGTGGTTATAGAATTACTTTGACAGTAGATATTACCATATAATGCCGTATAATCAGAGAAATGCAACCAGTCAGTGGTGGAACAGAGTAGTGAGAGAAATACTCTGGTCACAAAAATCATCAGACTGGTTATATGCTCAATGATACACTTAAAGTTAAATCAGTTTTCTCTCGCAATTGTCCATTTTATTTTCCTTCACTAGGTCATCTCTATTATTTGTGTCGCTGTATGGGCTATCAATATTGGTCACTTCAATGATCCAGCACATGGAGGTTCATGGTTAAAAGGAGCTATTTATTATTTTAAAATTGCCGTTGCATTGGCAGTTGCTGCTATCCCTGAAGGTTTACCAGCAGTTATAACTACATGCTTAGCACTGGGTACACGTCGAATGGCTGCTAAAAATGCAATCGTGCGTTCACTACCATCAGTTGAAACACTAGGTTGTACCAGTGTAATTTGTTCAGACAAAACAGGCACACTTACAACGAATCAAATGAGTGTTTGTAGAATGTTCACATTTTCAAAAGCTGATGAAAAGTCCGCCGACATAAATCATTTTGAAATCACTGGATCTAAATATGCACCTGAAGGTGAAGTGTAAGTAAAACAAGCTTTCTATCTTCTTTCTATTACATGTAGTTCATAATAATACTCCAAACAATGAGGTTAACATGACTGTAAGTTACTACGAAGACGTTTCTTTCTGGAAAGTCTAAATCCTAAAGAAGAGTAAACGTTACAAGAGGAGGAAATTGTGAGGACCTGTTTTGAAAAGAAGTCCCGATGTAGGGCGTGTTTCACGTGCACAAACAATGAAGTCAGTTTTCTTGTGCGAATTCCAGGAACCCTTATATAATTATATAGACAGACAAATAAGCGAAAACTTTGTAGAGAAATGCATCAGTTCAAGGTGATCTATTCTACAGGAGTATATAAAAAGGCATTTAACAAAGGTCTAAGGATATTCCGAAAGAGAACAGTTAGTATTAAGTTATTTGGAGATTTTGGACTCTAAAAACGACAAAAGGTGAATACATTCATATCGCTGTGTCAGGCATTCTGCTTTACAAAAGGACTTTTATGATTTATCCCTAGTATCCTGGAAGAGCCACTACAAACCTCTGTATGCAGCTGAGAACTACCTCTAGATGTTTTCTTGCTTTAGGGAAATGTTCAGTATTCTTAGAATATATGCCAACAGCCCAAATTAGTGGACCTCATCAGTCTGATTCGTCAGTCAGTCTTCCATATTTTGCAAATTAAATATTAGATGAAAATAAGCCACTTTGTGATTTCAATATAAGAAAACAGTGCCAACAGTACTTAAGATCAAGAATCTATGAATGCTTCCGTCTTCTACAATTAATGACTATATTTCTTATTTACAAAATGATCATTTTACATTAGGCTGCGTATTTTACCGAAACTAAATTTAACACAGTCTATTTAACATGGAGCTGAAAATCTGAAATCTGAGTGGACCTTTTATCCACAATTGCACTTACTTGGTGAATAATGAATCCTTCAGATATAGTGTAATGAACATCCATGTGTTTCCACCTTTTTTTCAAAAAAGAAAATATATCTTGTTCGAAAGCGTTATCGTAAATAGGAAATGCCACAAACTACTCATATTTAACCAAATGAAAGAGGATATAATAAAAGTTGCACTGCATTATTCAAAGAATAATTCCTACTCAAAATTATGTTTATTTGGGGATAAAACGTACTACTCTTAAGTAGTTGATTTATGTTTTAGAAATTATTCAAGATTTCAAAGTGCTGAAATTATCTCTGTTATAATTTATACAGATTTTTAAATGGTCAGAAAATTGAATCTGGAGAATATGAAGGTCTTGTCGAATTAGCGCACATTTGTGCCATGTGCAACGATTCAGCTATTGATTACAATGAAAGTAAACATGTTTATGAAAAAGTCGGTGAAGCTACAGAGACTGCATTGTGCTGTTTAGTTGAAAAAATGAATGTATACAAGACATCGAAGTCAGGTTTATCGAAGAAGGATTTAAGCATGGTGTGCAACCATCAAATCCAGGTAATGATTTTAAGACTTATCATTTTACATTAATGCACTATGACTACTTAGTACGTGAAATTTATTTCCGTGTTAACTGTTGATTAATAAATATTTCTCGGTGGATGATGATGGATTCGTGTTAAGAATAAGTTAATTTAGATTTTCTGTTTGATCGATTAATCGTTTGAAAAAATAACTTCTTCAACGACATTTGAACATTCCAATAGTTCTGCTATATTTGTGTTTATCCTACCTGTGGCTACAAATAAAGAGGGCGATCCTGTTGACTCTACTTCACATTGCATCTATCAGTTCACTTGAAGTTTTAATGACAGATATATATGCAGAAGATTTGACCAGTAAGGTACCCCAGATTGAAAGGTAGGTCAAATGCTTACTGATGACACTGAATGATAGAGGAGCTGTAACGTTGTTTCAAATTCTGAGGCAGTTACCTCCAACTCAGAGGCTAATTGAAAATTTTCTCCATGCCTGACCGCCTAGGTCCAGCATTTGACCCTTTGTGATCTCGTCGATGAGGGATCTTAGACTACAGTGAAATCTACTATGAAATAAAAGAGCTATTTGCTTAGTAAAAGGCGAAAATTATTTATGTGTATTGAATTCCTCAGTGCTTTATTCCTCAAAGATAAGTATAAGAAACATCCGTGCAATTAACCGAATGTAACATAACTCTACCTACCTTTACATACGTGAAATCTAAAAAATAGATGGGCGATGAATAATTCGCCATCGGAAACCATTTCTTCAAATAATCTCAGACTAGGGAAACACACCACTGAAAAATACCCCTATATACTAATGTGAGTGCTTTACAAACAGGAAGATAGATCTTCAGTTCCTGTCTCATTTCATTGGTTCCTATACTAGATAGAATTCTCATTTCATTTGAAGCTTTTCATACTGAAAATGTTGCTACCTTATTTGTTATGTTTTACCTTTCTCTGGAAAAGGAAGCTAACAGCTGTCATACTAATTACTACCTATCAATAAATAATAAACTACCTGATACTAAAATCTATCCAACCATAAGATGGTTAGCAAATCATTATGGAATAAACCAGTTTTATGCAAAATGTAGTTAACTACTTGTGTGACTTCTTTGCGTACACTGTTTACCCTAATTCTGATCCTTACTTAGTCAGTCATACATCAATTTCCACTAATATTGTCATAAATCTAACAAGAACAATTTGTATATGATTCAAAATGGCAGTGAAACAGCAATCTGTTGAAACTCTCAACTCTATATAGACACACTTGTAGGTTAATTTAATTACATTGGAGGATGAACAGATTAAAAGGTTGTGATAAAAACTGTGGGAAAAGGTAAAAAATACACACACACGTTGTACAATTTTACACAAATACAGCTTTAATAGATTTTACAGTGTCCATCTGGCAAAACAAATCCACTTAGGGATATCTTCAAGCAGAAATATGGTTATTTAAGTTAACAGAATACTTTTAATAGATAGGAGACGAATTTTTTGCTGATTATTTAAACATTTGTAGCATTCAGAGGATGGTTAACAACTGTTTCATGATGTACAAACACTTTATAAGTACCACATACTCAGTCAAGATGCTAAAGTTTTGTAAAGACTACATCATCAGAGTTCCACTCGCTATGTTACATTCCGGTGTAAAATAAATTATTTCAAAGTATTCCTATATTAGTTTGTTGACACATCACTTGACTCATCTTGGAATTCATGACTCATGTAAAATATAATTAGTTTGGTTTTCGATAAGCATTAAGAAATAATTTGCAGTCATCCAATTTATTGATTTTGCACTATTCAGTAGAGTGGATCTTATTGAATCAGTTCAAAAAGGATCTTGCAATGATCAGGTTGAAAACACTAAACAATGTGCTGGAAATATAAATATATGATAAAACTGCATGTAGGGGATTGAAATTTGTCTTCATTTGAAGGTGTTTACAATCAGTAAGTTCCAAGAAAGTGCCCTATCATTGTCTATCTTTTAATTTACGAAGATGGATGGTTTTCACGAAAGTAATTGTTTCATTTTAAATTTCTTTTGATTCTGTCACAAGTCACACAATAAAGTGATTACGTCATAGATGCAACAGAACAGAAAATTAGTTGACAGAATTGCATCAAAACTAATAAATTAACTGTGGTCGTTGGAAATACTTCCAAAGTTTGATTAGCCTACGTGAGGATGTCTTGCAATGAAATAAGATGGACTTAACTAAAATTAGATAATTGTAGATAGATTTTCCTCATGACAAAGATAAAGTTGTAGCCGTTTCTGAAGTTGTGCGGTAGTTTTAAGTAACTTATAAATCAAAATTAGCTAGATTTGAGCGTGTTCAGTTCAATCTTAAACTAAATGTGTTTACTTTGGCTTAAAATGTATACACCGTCAGAAATGTCATTATTATTTTCAATTATAATTCTATTTATGCCATTTTTATTCAGTCGCAGATATATAGTCTTTAACTCAGGATATTTCAAGATCTTTTTCAATTTTATCTACCTAGGGCATGTGGAATAAAGAGTTCACTTTGGAGTTTTCACGTGATCGAAAATCTATGTCTGTCTACTTACAAGCTAAACCTGCATTTACATCTAAAATTCCAAATACTTCGGGTTCAGGAGAAACAGGCCCCAGAATGTTTGTTAAAGGTGCTCCCGAAGGAGTATTGGACAGGTGTACATTCGTACGTGTTGGTAATAAGAAAGTTCCTATGACACCGATGTTGAAAGCTGAAATTGTCAAAAATGTAGCAGCCTATGGAACTGGTCGTGACACACTTAGATGTTTGGCTTTAGCAACATGTGATTCACCGGTTAACAAAGCACAAATGGATTTAGAAGATGCAGCTAAATTTGTTAAATATGAAGTAAGTTATGTAATAAACTAGTGCCACTGGGAAGACAAAAATTTTCTCCTCTTTCCATTTTTATTCCTTCAGATCTTATTGACTTATTCATGTTGTTCTCCTGATAGAAGAGATGTTTGATTCATAAGTTTTCATTATAAGTATGTGCTACTGACTTTCAAATCTTTTATGTTATGTATACAAGATGGTACAGAAAAGTTGACAAACTGATCAAACATTCTTCTCATAATTTCACTGTTTATCATAGCGTATTTGTAAATTCATTCTATGTAAAAATTGGTATTAACGCATCACTGCTGACCTACTCTTTATGAATAAACTGGTCTCTCAAAGCATTTGATATGTTTTAGGAATATGTTTACAAATAAACTGCCATTGTGATGCAGTAACAGATCTTATCTTTATCTCTTCACTATTGGAATGATTAAAATATGCAAAATCAGCATACTATAAAAGATAGGTTTATGTTTCAATTGATGAGTATAGGCTTTCTCTCTGGATTCGTGAAGCAAGTGAGTGTTCAAATATACCAGTGCTTCACTGGAGTTTTTTATCTTATAAGGCTTCTAACTATATAAAATGTTGCTTTTAAGCAGTTTCTAGAACTTCTGGTAATTATGTTTTCACAGTGTAAACTTACATCAAACTTTCCTGAAACAGCCCAAGAATATTTAGTTGGTACTTATACAACATTCGACAAATTGATGGGAAAACTTTAGAAATTATCAGAATTGTAGATTGTTTTGGTTTCGATTTCTTTTTGTTTAGCAAAATTTAACATTTGTCGGAGTGGTTGGTATGTTGGATCCACCTCGTATGGAAGTATTCGACAGTATTGCTAGATGCCGTAAATCTGGTATTCGTGTTATTATGATAACTGGTGATAATAAGGCGACAGCTGAAGCTATTTGCCGTCGTATTGGTATTTTTGGAGAGGATGAAGCAACAAGTGGAAAGTCGTTCACTGGACGTGAATTTGACTCACTGCCTATTGAAGAACAACGAGAAGCATGTAGACGAGCAAAACTGTTCGCACGTGTTGAGCCTATGCATAAGAGTAAGATTGTTGAGTTCCTTCAGGAGGATGGTGAAGTATCTGCCATGGTGAGTTAAAAAATAAAGTTATTCGTTTTGTAGTTTCCAAACTTTTTCAGTGACATTGAGGAGCTATGTAGCATTACTTGTTCAGAGCTATTGAATTTACAAGTCTATAGGGATAAAGACAGAGTCGAGCAGGAAATCATTTAAAATTCTCTCCGCGATCTCTCGAGGTCAGATATTTATCCTTTGAGAGGTTTTGGAAAAATATCTTCCCCTTCGTAACCCCTAGCTTCAGTAGAAAACGTAACATTAGGAGACAATCATTATTTTGGTTTTAGCAGTGGAATCCAGGGTGCTCATTTAGCCCTATTCTGGTCTCGTCATTTCGATATATAGGCACCTGTGTTTATGTAGAAAACTGTGTTTGAAGCAGAGCACACACCCTAGATTTCGTTTCAAGCTACTATCCACAGTGACTAAGTGCTTACCTTCTGTTTAGAAACATTCTGCATAGGAATTTCTCTACGTGAAGCTCACTTGGTATAAAAATGATGTCTGATGACCTAAAGGACTCATTCGAAGTGTTCTTAACGTAATAACACAATCATAATATGCTTAAAACAGATAAGTGACAGTAAATATCCATATCATTTGTCTTTGACACAAATATACTTTAATTATTAGTGACATCTAGAGTCACTGTCTCCCATTTATTTACTGTTTTTCTATGGAGAATAAATATTACCATTGCAAAATTACAAGAGAGTTGTCTTATTACGAATAAATAACAATAAATACTTCTCTATATTCCTAATAGTTAAGATATATTAATTCGATTTATTCTGTATCAACTGCTTGGTATTCTTTTAGGAAATATGTGACAATGACGCATACTTCAATCAGAATCTAAACTGTCTATAATATGGACATTATATATCCATTACCTTCGCCGATGATATATGTCTGATTTCCCACAAACTGGAAGATATGCAAGTGAAAAGCAACAAGTTGGCAGGAGAAGCATCCCGAGAATATAGGACCTCAGGTGAACATAGAGAAAACAGAGGTGATGAATATTCATGGCCAACAGCACCAGCAGCGACAACAGATAACAATCAGCATAAACGGGAGAAATCTGAAAGAAGCAACCTCTTTCACCTACCGACCTACCTGGGAAGCATCGTTTCAACTACAGGCGGAACTGATGAGGATATCGAAGCGCGGATCGGGAAAGCAAGGCAAGCTTTCATTACTCTCAAGTCTGTGTGGAGGTCAACAGCACTCAGCATGAAAATGAAAATAAGATCCAGATTTTCAACTGCAATATGAAGTCAGTATTACTTGCTATATGGATCAGAGACTTAGCGCGTCATGAAGAGCGCTTCAAACAAACTACAGATTTTCATCAACAACTGTCTTCGCTCAGTACCACTCAAGATCAGACGGCCGAACAGAAAAGATACGCAACAGGGAGGGATCTCTAGCAGTGAGCGAAACAACTCAGCAGGAACCGATTGTGCAACAAATATGCACGAAGAAATGGAGGTGAATTGGCCCTACTCTGAGAAAACCATCAAGTCACGTCACAAGACAGCCCCTTGAGTGGAACGCGAACGGGAAGCGGCGAAATGGTTGTCCGAGGGTGAAATGGAGGAGGTCATGTGAAGAGGAGATGAAAGCATTTGGACAGACTTGCTGCCAGGTGAAAATGTTGGCGGAGAACCGAACACAATGGAGACGCGCGACTGAAGCCCTATGTTCCTCTAGGAACTAAGGGAAATAATAATAATATAATAATAAATCCATTACATTTCTCTGTTATGTCACAGTGGGTTAGAATATAGTAGGACTGATAAACATGGGATTAGTGTGGTAGTGAAGTACCGCTGTATAGACTGCATCACAACTTTTCTCAAGATTTTACAGTTAGTAAAGGTTGTAATCTTCCTTCTTTCTATTATTACCGGTAATAAACTATTCAACAGTAACAAAATTATGCACGTATGAGCATTTACATTTCTGAGCATAAAGCTAAAATTTACTCCCATTTCTTTTCTTCCAATAAACAAATAATTATGCTTATAGACTGGAGATGGTGTTAATGATGCACCAGCACTTAAGAAGGCAGAAATTGGAATTGCTATGGGAAGTGGTACAGCTGTAGCTAAATCAGCAGCTGATATGGTATTGGCTGATGATAATTTCAATTCAATTGTACTGGCTGTTGAGGAAGGACGAGCTATTTATAATAATATGAAACAATTCATTCGCTATTTAATTTCATCAAATATTGGTGAAGGTAAGCTTAGGCAGTGCATTATAAATTATCTTGTCATGACTTTGATGATAAAAAATGATTCACTGATTTGAAAGATTCTGCGAGGAGGCAATTTTTCAGAAACTTCATACATTTATTCTGAAAAAAGCAAGAAGAGCAGTTATTGCAGAATAATATGGTACCATCATTTGTTTCGTTGACTTCCCATCAGCTGCTTATTCCCGAAATAAATTACTAAATTTACGTACAGAAAGGTTTTAACAAATTTGTAAATTTTACATCGTGTTAGTTGACAGGAGGTTCGAACCTAGTGAACAGTGCTCAGAAAGTTGCGCTTTTATGGTTTTTGCACAGAGAACTCAAGTTTAAACAAAGTAAATGTATGCATACAACGGTAAAGGAGTTACGTAATAGAGAAGAGAGATACGGAAGATAATGGGTAACTAATAAATTGGGTAACAATGTACTGAGTTCAACTCAAATCATCGAAACAAGATACAAGCAAAATTACACTATATCAAAGGGGGTGAAGTTAAAGCCAAAGATTAAATAATGAAGTGAAAGACAGAATAAAAACATCCAGTTGCCAGGGCAAGGAAAGACTGACAACTGCTTCTTTCTGAACATACAGTTCGGGTTTCAGGCGTCTGATAGATTGCTTCCGAAAACTTCAGGAGAATTAAGCGCTATGGTCTACTTATTATTATGAAGGACCCGTATCAAGGAGATATCTGGTAATATCACTATTGTAAACACTTATTCCATTGAGAGGTAGGCTTTTTAGCACATGTTCAAAAAATTGGAGGTGTACCCTTCTTTCTGTTCTCCCAATGTAACTGCTCCCACAGATACACGTAAATTTGAATACAGAGTTGGAGTGAACATGAGAAGGGTATGTGTCGACGTCTGACTCCACCAATGAGCATGTTGTCCAATAGACGGGAACCAATTGGCTGTAGGATAGGCTCTGACTGGTGACATGCTCAATCTTCTGTTGACAATTGTTGCAATATTTTCACCTTAAAAGTCCAGTTGAATGAAGATAGGCTTTTTTCCCACTGCTATCTGTTGGACATTTGAGCCTTCATATTTTCCATATTTTTTAATGAATCTCTGACAGTAACTGTTGTTTTTCAACATCTTTTCGAGAATTATAAATTCTCCGTCTAATTCCTCCGTAGAACGTATTCTCCTAGCTCCATAGTTCAGAGTCCTGACTAGTGATCGTTTATAGCTATTTGGATAAAAACTATTGAAATGTAGGTATTGTCCATTCCATGTAGGCTTTCGGTAAATTGACCTCTGAAGACTACCGTCTTCTAGGAGATGCACAGCAATATCAAGGGATTGAAAATTCCCAGCATCTTCATGTTCCATAGTAAATTCAATATTTGTATGTGCGTCGTTGAGTGATCCAAGTAGGTAGGAGGCATGACTTTCATTGTTGCACACTACAAATGTGTCATCGACATACTGATAATAAGAAGTTGTTTCATAGATTGTATGCTTCAACTTTGTTTTCTCAAGGTTGGACATGAAGATATCTGCTAAAACAGGGGTAAAGTGGACTGTCCATAGCTACACCATCTATTTGTCAGTAATGAGTGTTGTCAAACTGGAATTTTACATCCATGGTACACATTAGCAGTAGTCATTGGAATTCCGACTCCTGGGGCGGGAGAAGATCAGACTGCTGACAAATGATCTCGATAGTTTCAATGACTGGGATCCTTGTGAACAAGGAGGCTGCATGTAATGACTCCATGAACTTATTTGAAACGTTCATGTGGTTCACACTTTCGGTGAAATGAAATGAGTCTTTCATGGTGTACCATATTATTCTGTAAAAATTATTGTTCTTGCTTTATTCAAAGAAAAAAATGACTCATCTTTCAGTTATGTTATGATGTTAAATAAAACTGCCTAACATAAATAATGACAGTACTAAAATTGTCCTTCAGGGTTACAAACTAATTCCACAAGGCTGTTTAAGTAACTTAGATGACTGTAATAGTGATGACATCTGTCATCTGCACAATAGAAACCTCATCGGATGTCATTCACCGAATAACTGGTGTGCTTTGAAAGTGAGTAATAGGCAGTATTCAGTGTTCATTAGTTAATTAGGTAAATAATGCAATCAAATAAATTTATAAATGTGGCGGGAAGGAAAACTGATAGAACTTGTTTATTTAGTCACTTAAAAATGCCCCGATGAGAGGAACTTGGTTCAAGACAAACAGTTAAATATTTATCAGTGTTTTGAAAATTATTTGGTGTTATTTGCTTCAAGAATATTTTTCTCTCCTTATCACTTCAATGATTTCTAAAACAGCAAAATATAGTTTAACATTACATGAATATGTGAACGAGAAAAATTACTTTTGAGTATAGAATGCAAGACCATGAAGTCATTCGGGTTGTCGCAGTGATGCCAAAGTCCTTATTCATAGAACAGTGACAATAAACATCGGATATCTGATAAAAATGCTAATTCTCCAAAATATTAGAAATGTATAGTCTGGATGAATGAAGATGATGTTCTCTAACCAATTGCTATGACAGTTAAAGTGATTTTTAATATTGTTCTTGTTTCCAATAGTTGTCAGTATCTTCCTCACTGCTGCACTGGGTCTACCTGAAGCTTTGATTCCAGTACAACTTTTATGGGTCAACTTAGTAACTGACGGGTTACCAGCTACTGCATTAGGCTTCAATCCTCCTGATTTGGACATTATGGATCGTCCACCAAGAAATATTAAAGATCCTTTAATTTCTGGATGGTTATTCTTCCGTTATGTTGCTATTGGTGTTTACGTTGGATGTGCTACGGTTGGAGCTGCTGCCTGGTGGTTCAGTCTTTATGCTAAAGGACCACAACTTAATTACTATCAACTGGTTAGTGAGAAGTGGTTAAAGACCCTACGAGATACTGAGTTTTAAATTTATGTCTTCATTTTAGTTTGTCATTTTTTTATTTGTCTCCAGTCAGCGAACGTTTTTGTATCACTTACTGCCCTATTTTAATACCGTTAGACTTGCATGGAGTTAAACTTGTCTATAAAAGCTATTTACTGGTTATTTTACTTGCCAGGTGTTCCTAGGTTAGTCATGTTATCATGTCTTTTATTGTCACTGTTTGTTTTCCTAAAGTTGAACGAATGGAATGTCCTAAAGAGTACGACAAACCAAGTAATGCATACATTTTAATAAACTACTACACGTTAGTTCCTGTAAATACTTCAAAATGCCACTCATTCATGAGACAAAACTTCTGAATTGAACTGGATTTACTTCACATTTATTGCTGGATTGTAATTACTCTGGCCATCTGCTCATGTACTGAACAAAACCCGCGCATAAAATTTGATCAGTGGCCATCAGGTTGTAACATGGCACTGCTGCGCATCGTATACCAATTTAATTTGGGAGCGAAATCTGCTGCACTTGTCTGTGTATATGCTAGGAGCTACCAATAAGAAGTATCAGAAACCATGAATAAACTTACTTCCGACTAGGATTAAAAATCACATTTCTCACTGACAAATTGAGAAACTTTAACACTTCACGAATGCCCAATGCTTCACGTCGTAGCATTATGCATATTATGACAACGAAGTTCAATATAAAGGCGCTTCATTTCACTTTCAATAGCAGAAGAAACGATGACACTTCGGCATGTTCGTGTTATTTTCGATTTCGATCGATGTATGATAACTTCCCAAGACATTGAATCAAATAATCTCTCAGACATCATCCAGTGACCCATAATTTGCCACCAAAACTTTGTCCAACCAGTTCTATGGCTAGTTGATAGCCAACAGTGTGAAAACTGTTAAAATGATCTCCATATTGTTCACACGTGCTCCTTCAGACCTTAGAGTTACTTGTATGGTTTTACCACCAGGTCTAGGCAATGGTAAAACATGCAGAGCTGCCTGACATCCTCACTTACGAGAAGTCAGGTTTTGCAGGCATTATTTCAGTGACCACAGATTTTAACTTTACTCACCGATAACAAAAAGGGTACCCTAAGGAATAAATATTTTGCTTCTATGATGTCAAGTTTCATCTGAATGCTCAATCAAAATACAGAAGTGTCTTCGACTAGCACCTCATTTTAGCATATAATCCTAACCGTTGAAAACCATCCAATTTTGAATGTTTAGGCAATGTTATATCAGCACAAGACGGTAGCAATACAGAGTTCACTAGTTACAGCTGTAAACTGGCTTTAGTTGAATCTAGAAGGTGAATTTTAAGTGTAGTGTAAGATATGAATAAAGTCGCAATTATCAGGACGGCTATCACCTGGTATTTCATTTTTCTTTGGAGTTCATATACTTACTCAAAGTTTCTTCTAAACTATAATGGTCATTTGATGTAATTATTCAGTTTTAAATTAAATGTTACTATGAAACGACAATAAGTCATTGATGTAACGATGTACTCAATAAATGCATAACTTGATACAGGATTTTAAGAGAATCGAACACTCATCTTGTGTTTATATAAAACTCAGGTGGTACATACATGATTCCAGTGGCCCAAGGTCTGTATTTTGATGGTATTAAACTTATCAAACAAATAACCAGTAATTTTACCTGTAGAAAATTTCAAAATACCCGGATAAAGTAGACTTACAGTAACAATACCGGATAAATTGGAATTCCTTCTAACTCTTTCGTCTATGAAAGATATTAATGAACTCCATAGATTGTATTTCTTACACTTCTGGACTTGTAGATATATCTGCATTTAAGTAAGCGCTAAGGTCCAACTAAGAATTGAACCCAGTACATATTCCTCCAAGCGCCTAAGCCTTATTCATAACACTAGATGTTAGTGAAGTTAGGCTTGATGAATTCTTCCTGCAAGGGATTTGTGAGTGAAGCGTACGTTTGCAGGTTGCTTATTTCTCAGCCATCAGTGCGACCTTCCTGTCTTATATTCCTTTGTTCCAGTGGAAGTTATTTCCACTTACGACCTTATGGATTGATAGTTCAAGGATTCAGGCTAACTAAGCGACATTTAGCATCACTTGAATATGCGAATAACTGACCTTATAATGGTAATCATTTTTTATAAAACTATTGAAAGTAAATGGAAATTGGTAAGGCGTTTCTTATCTTTTATCCAACATTCTGGCAACAGATACTTCAATATAAACTTGGAAAGTTTACTATCAGAAATGAAAAACTGTTATAAAATGTGTGATGAAAGTGTTTCCCAAGAGGCGTCCTAGAACGCAGGTTTTATCGTAAACGGTAAAATTTATCAGGAAAATCCGGATAAATTGGTGAAAGGCATGAATAATAAGAATAGTATCCTAGGTAATACTATTGCTGAGATGATCTTATAACTCACCAAAACCAGATGTGAAAATTGTAAAGAAAAATAAAGGTCTAGTAGATAGTACATTAGCATTCAGTAGTTCAAAATGCACCTGAACGCATATATTTTACGGGTGGAAAATAATGGGAAGCTTTTTTCGTTCTGTATTCAGCTGTTTAGCTGAAATTCAAGCTAAACTACAGACGAAAATGTTGTCTTGTGGTGGGTCTTTAGAAAAACTCGTGAAAAATCCACCCAGCTAAGACAATATAGTAACACATCTATGTCTACACAAGTTACATATCTTCTCCATCATTTCAAAAATTGGTACTTAGATATTCACACCAATTTTTGATGTAGTTTAGCCGTCATTTAATGTACTTACTGGTCACCAGTTTGCTTCCCCAAATAGTTTGTGTTGGAGATTATTTTGATTTCTGTTCTATAGTTTCGTTCAAGGTCTTTATTTTAGAGAAAGTTGTCATCCTTCAGTTTACTGCGTATTATGTGACAAGCATTTGTACTCTTTGGAAATGAAAAAAATTATTGCGTTGACAGTGATCAGTAAACTTCAGTCTAGCTTGTGACAGTCGTCTTATTCGTAGGATTTTAAGTACGACCATTTTGTGTTTTGGGCCACTCATGCCTTTTTTCACTAATATGCCTAATATTTCCATTACTGGGACTAGATTAGTTAGTGTCTATTTACAGAATGTTATATCGGTTTGTTGTCTGTGAATACATACGTGAAAAGGTCCACAATCTTTCGACTACTGTAATCGACTGAATCAGTGAATTACCACAGAGCTTTATAAACTTTCATTCTGTTTTTCAAAAGAATCAGGAATATATCAGCTGCATCCTAACAGAATTACTACCTGTTTATCGGAACTACTTTTTATGCTTAATTTGCTGATTATAATTTTTATTCTTAGACTCATCACATGCAATGTTTGGCAGAAAAAGAAAACTTCCATGGAATTGACTGTCATATTTTTGAAAATCCCAAACCAATGACTATGGCATTATCTGTTCTAGTTCTCATTGAAATGTTTAACGCTTTAAACAGGTATTCTTGTTTTGCATAATATTTATCTGTTCGTAGTAAAAGTATTATTTATTCTGTTTTATTTTCTCCTAAAAATAGACTCATCAATCTCAGTGTTTAGCACAAGAATCTCGTTTTGAGGGAGTAGACTGTGCTATATTTTCTCATCCGAAACCTATGACTATGGCTTTATCTGTACTGGTTCTCATTGAGATGTTGAATGCTATGAACAGGTGAGTAGGCCGTCCACGTAACACATCCACATCCACACACACACAAATGAACATACATATGCAATCTGATACACAATGAATCTTTCAATGGATTCAGATCGAATGATAATTTACTAAAAAAAACACATAGAAATCAAACAAAACTCTGTCAGCACGAAATACAAAGAAGCATGTTATTTATGTGTGAAATTTTGCATGCAGTGTAACTGTCTTTCTTCCTATCTCTTTATTTCTTTTTGCCTGCTATTTCATGCTGAACAAAGGGGCTCCTAGGGTGGTAATGTTGTTAATAGCTCAATTCGAATTGTTGCAGTATTGTTCCTATCCCTTCTAGTTTTGCTAGTAGTGCATATGGAAACTAAAAAAACATGGTAGGGAAATAAAGATAATCACTTAGTGTAACGTGTGTGATGTATGCACCGTGGAGCCCTTATTTATTACTGTAGTAGGCTGCCACTAAGATTCTTTGATTAGAAAAATAATAGAAGCCCCTTTGCTCGGCTGAACTAGTAGGTATTTTATTCTACAGAAGTTATTTATGCTTGTACATACACATACACATTTGAACATTCATATTACTAACAAAGACAATCATAGTGGCGGCCTACTCAGTAATCCACAGCGTTGTTTGTTTAAGCATGTTGTATTTATTTTCTCATATGCGCATATATGTACATATATGCGAGACATAATCTCGTCAGATGAGTTTTGTCCCCTGAAAAATCATTTTACAGGGACATGTAAGCACATGTAAATCAAGGTAGTGTTAGGTTGCCAAGTCTAAGTATTAGGAATTTTTATTTCCTTTTATTTTCCAGCTAGATTAATTTGGTGAATACCACTTTAAAGATTTGTATTATCATCTCCTTTTAAACTCACGTATATTAAGATCATAAAACAGTAATGCCACTGAACTAATTATCAGTTCAACGGTGAATAGATTAGAATGCATAAATGACTGTGAGTTTTAGAAAGAGACTGTTACTTGAGGGTGAATCTATTTTTATCTACAACTGCAGCTACTATCGACTGAAATGACTAGAACATGTGTTACGCATACGGAGCCGCCGCTTTCTTCAATGAGCAATGTTGGCCAACATAGGATTAGGTTGGAAGAGAGTTAGGGGTAGACAAATCAAAACATGAAACCAAACCATCAAGTCTTTCTTGATTTTAACCACACAGGGAGATGTAGACTGTCTAGTTGGTAACCTCAGGATGCTAAGTACCATTGGCTGGAGACTACTGGTGATATGGCTTAAAATCGTTAATAATGGCTCAGATGCATTTACTCTTTGTAGTCTCCCATATCCATTAAAACGTCATGTTTTCCGTGTTACAATTCTTCCTCCTTTAGTTTTCTGCTCATTGCAGTCCTTCTGAATCTTTTTTGTCTGCCTTTGTGTGCTACATGAAGTGTGACGATTTGGACTGCAGGACATCTGTGAAAAGTTCTATGTTGAAACTTAGTCAGTCAAACTTCCTCACCTTACCACTGTTTCCAACACGTAGTTTATGCAGTAACAATTTGACATCATAAATTAAACAATGAAAAAAATATCAGCCTATATCGAAATCTTTCCGATGACAGGCAGAAAAGGATATGAAAAACTATGTTTATAAAACCCAAATACAGCCTCTACACAGCTGTTTTCCCGTCAAATAGCTCTTACCCAGTGCCCAGTCGTATGAACAGTGATGAATGACACTTTATTATTCAAAGGAAGTTAAAGACAGTCGTCCATGACTAAAATTAAAATTAGATGGAATTTTCTCCAAAATGTACAATGGTGCTCGTTTTTCAAGAAGAAAAGAAAAAGGAAATTCTTAAAAATTAGACGAACCAGACTGGGAGGTCGGAAACGCCTGCTTTCAGTAACATTACCACTATAGACTACAAGGAAACGACAAGTCTTCCAAGGATAGTTTCTTTAAATATCTGGTGAGAATGACATCCAATTAGGAACCAGTGGTATCCGATGAATAAGCAAAAATTTGAATTCCTTCTCAATAAGATTATCCTTTATGGTGGATTTAAGACATAAAGCGACAAGAATCACTTGAAGCAGTGTACTTCTCATTTTGAAAAATCATTCTCCTTTTTGCAACTGGTTGTAAGTCTCATCTGATACTTCTTCCACGTGGTCAGACATGTAGAGCATTGTCGTTGGGCAGTTTAGTACTGATTTAAAATAATACATCGCCGAGTAATATTAGCGTGGCTTGTGCATAAAATTGAGTTCGAACAGATATTTTGCATAAAAGAGCACTGCTGAATTAAACTGGATTTCTTGTAGTTAAAAATAATGACTTCTCAAATGATCAGTCTGGAACTCTTATACGAATCGTTTAAATTCCCTGTAGTTGTAGCAATCACTCGTATCAAGTTTTAGGCTTGAGATCACTATATCCTTTTAAAAAACACTTTCCAAAGGTAACTTTTAGTGGATTTTAAGGTTTTTAATGAAAGTTTGATTGTTTTGAAGTGAAAACTTCTAAAGTGATAAACAAAAATTTGTATACATGTCAAGACTCTGTTAGAAAATAGCCACTCGAACTCAATTGAATGCTTAAATACTTGAGGCAGTTACCGCATTCAACCATGTTTTCTGTCTGTAAATAAGCTATCAGTCATGCAGTGTCTTTGTCTTTATATGATTTATATGTTATGTCTTACTAAATTGTACTGTCCTATTCCTTTTTAACATATCACTGAAGACGAGATAATGTAAGTTAAAATTATTAGAAACCACTGTTCTCAAACAGTCCTCACACTCAAGAATATTGCTGATGATACGATTCTCCTTTTCACTGTTCACACTTTGTTTTATTTTTTTGTTGGTGATGATTTTGTTGACAATCTTAATAATACAGTCTATCGGAAAATCAATCGTTGATCTCTATGCCACCATGGGTAAACATTTGGCTCATCCTTGCTATGATTGTCAGTATGTCATTGCATTTCTTGATTTTGGAGGTTGAATTCCTTTCGGTAAGTTGGATTCATCAAGCGTTTCATGCTTTTTAAGACCATTAATTCATGATCTAACACTTTGTTATGTTTTTGGTTTTGAAATAAATCAAAAATAAGGGTGTGTATATATATTATACAGTAGAAATTTTGCTTCAATTTTCATGAAGTAATTTTGTTAGATGCAATGGAAAAAATGGCTTAGTTGTTTTCAAAATATTGATCCACAGACTTCAATCCTAGCAATTCCTGCCTAATTCATCTTTAGAAGTAAGATTATATAAGAACAACAGAAGACCATAAAAGTTAAATAAAAGTTATATGTGACCTGAATCGCATACTAATAAAGTCTCATCATAGAACTGTGTGATGTAAGCTCAAATATTAGTTTATGCATATCTGCAGATACATCCTGGTGGCAAGTGTCAACCACCGTAATACTAGACTCAAGAACTTTTGTCAGATAGTGCTTTGTAACATATATTACTAAAAAAGGGCGCCAATATGCACTGTGTTGTGAGATAATTAAAGAATTAGTCTAGAAACTTTAAATAACAACTAAAATTAAACAGATATTTTGGTCATTCTTCTACGATCGATTAGTATAGATAATAAGGAAGTATTTTTGATATGTGGATAAAAGTGTCATTGAATTGCCAGTGATAGTCTTCACAATAAAATGTTTCAGGTTCTGTTTAAACATCTGCTTCATCCGGACACCATTATGAAGGTACTAATAGTATTATAAAATGCATTAGGTAAGAGGCAAGTAAAATTATGCCTAAACCAATTAGCTTGAATCACTTATTACTCATAAAAGCAATAAACTTATATTCATACAAAACATTCTCCTCTTTTCTCTTTCTTCACTCTAATCAATGAAAATGTGTAGAAAGTCTTCCAAATCACTCCGTTATCATTGGAGGAATGGTTTATGGTGATCAAGATCTCAGTACCAGTCATATTTATAGATGAGGCGCTCAAACTGATTGCCAGAAGGTTTGCAGATGGTATGTGCAAGATAAATTTATTTTTTTTTCTTTATTAGGTAGTATCCTTCTTTCTAACTAACAAGTGCGATTTTTATTTGAACATAGTGTTGAACAGATGTTTATTGACTATATCCTTTACTACACTTTTATGTGCCATTTCTAGTCTTGCTTTTTTCCTTCTGTGAATAGAAATTATGAGTGTGTATTTATGGTGAAGGCATATTCTAGGGGAAGTGAATCACACCTATATGTGTATCTTGTACACTTGTAAGTGAGATAGAGAAATAGAGGTAAACAGAAACTGCTATGACTAAACAACATTATTTAGAATGTATGTAGTGTATAGGGCATAAACTAGTTGTCGGACAGCCCCTAATGTCATATTCATCGAAGATACTGGTGATGGTCGATTGTGTTTTTGTTTGACATTATCGCTAGGTATTTTGACTTTACATCATGATAACGTATTGATGTGATATCATGCCTCTTGAAATATACTTCCATTTTTTCAGCAAAATAAGTTACCAAAATAATCAGGATTTTATGTTTCTAGCTTTACTCAGTGGTTCTGAAGACTGATTCCAGACTCCTATTTAGTGGTCTCCATCTTCTTGACAAGTAAATCCTACCTCATTCAAAAAAGGTATTTTTAAGACGTATCATTAAATTTTCCTGAGATAAAGTCAGCTGAATAGTAGTCTGTGTGGTTAGAATCACGAATCTCACTTCAGTCTCTTAACTTCGCTAATATAAATATCACATATCACATTGTAACACATAAACACCATCGGAAATGTGACTGGTCTTATGCATCTGTTGGTTTATATCAGAAAGGCTGCAGCAGTTTTAATCAGAAAACTTTCCGCATCACATTTTCAAAATGAAACCCAATCAACTATGTAAAATCTAGTAATTAAACACTTCACTGTTTAACTTAAAGTTTAGGTGCTACTTTGAAAGATTCTTTGAGTTTTCCATCTAAATAATTACTACATAACTGTGAGGTGTCTCTCAGTCCTCATGTGAAAAGTGGTTGTCTTTTCACTGTTATTGTGCAGTCTCTTTCAGTTATTAAGCACTGATCACAGCTGATTAAGGTATGATTGCACTACATGAATACGAAGTCACTCGTTTTTGGGATAAACTGTATGCCTACAATGACTACATTGCGTTACATTTTGTTATTCTAGTGAAGCTGAAATATACGCTCTGGTAGAATAATCTAGAAGAAAAAAATCACTGAATTTTTTTAGATTTATACATTTTTTACGATTTTATTGTCAATCAGTGATCTGTAAGAAGATCAGACTTCAGTAGAATACAAACATTACTCCTTTACTGAAAATACAACTTCTTTTGCAGATTTTCTTCATTCAAAAATACATCTTACTTTAGGCAATTTCAAGACGCTAGATTATACACATAATAGTTTGTTTTTCTATGACAAATTCTTGTCACTCATTGAGGACCTTAACTACAGAACGGCTGAACATTCATCATCTGACTTACAACTGTATCACAGTAGGTAATATTAACCACATACAGAATAATGTAAACATTTAAAAAATGAAAAACACACACCTTGACAATTGGGCACATTAACACTGGAGTTTCTTCTAAAGATGGTACCAAAAAAGCTCGTATAACATAAACAATTTTTAACTAAAGAGCTCCCGAATTTATGCTATAAATCAGTAGTAGAGAACATCAAAAGCTATTAACATGAGTGAAATTAATAAGTCGATGCAGAAGAAATACAATAGAAAGTTTGGCTCGCTACGTTAATGTACAAATATTCTGAACTGCAGAAAATTTACCTATAAGATTAAGCGAACTCTGAAGGAGGAAAAACAGTAAATCTCTGTGACCATCACGAATGCAAGCAGATAATTCAGTGTTCAGTTAAACGGATTGACGAAAGGAGAAGATAAAGGCTTTTAAAAATCACAATTCTTATGTTAAACATACAAAGATGGCATATCATTCAGTGGAAAACATTTCATAGATTATAGTTCATAAAGTATCCAACGTGGAACTGCATTCTGCTCCAATATCTCAGTCTTACTCTTAATAAAACGGAATAAAGGAACTATACAGAAGTTCTGACGAAGCCATTTGTTAGGAATAGCATTTAATATAAGTCCAACCTTCTGATAAAGCTTATTCACCATGAATTGTTAATTCTGTGGTCCAAATTTCTTCAATGTATTCTAGTAATTATGTTATACAGTGTGTTAGCAGGATTTATGACTGCGCTACTGATGCATCCTGCTATCAGATACGGATAATAGTGAATACTCATTGGTCGTACATGTATGGTGGAGGCTTTCACATGACTGCTATAAAAAGTGAAATATCCAAAGGCTACCTTATATTGAAATAAATCAAGTAAATATAGATAAAGACACTTCACCAAATAATACAGTTACAAACTTCTGAAACACTATCTTTGAACACAGCTGCACATAAAAGTTACATGACTTTGCACTATTCCAAAAATAGTCTGGATAAATCACATATAGACTGAACAACTATTGTTATCATGCATTTGCTACTATGCATTTAGCCTGTGGATACATTTCATCAATTAATATTTGAATCATAAGCATTAGAATACATAAATATCTTAAACTGGTAATTACAAAAGGAATCAAATAAAGTACAGTCAGTGTTTACTGTAGGCACATCTCTACTCTAATACTGCTAGATACCTTCTTGATAAAGCTAAGCGTAGACTAAACTCTGTTTTCAGCGATATTCACTAATTCATTCCGTCAGAAATAGACACTCCCGCCAGGTGAACGCAAATATGTGCTATTTCTTTTACTCCGAGCCCCAAAACTATGCAGTATAAAATGTTTTCTGATAGTATTGTTCTAGAGATTTTGGTAACTGTGTCGTGGCGCATAATACACTTATTTAAACCATCTGGATATACTACTCGTGGTTGCTTAATTACTGCAATTTCTTTTAGATAATTTGAGTCCTGGGCCAGTTTGAGTCTTCTGTGGTGTACCTTCCTAGAACCAGAATACAGCTAGTGATAAAGTAAATAGCTTAAAATGAGCTAATAAAATAAACTTCGGACCTGCCGACATATACTTAAGGTGTCTTAGGTCCTGTTATCAACAAGTACACACTCGAACAAGCTTCAGTGCCAATTCACTACTCCTTTTCTGCTCGCATAAACATTCGCATTCCGGAAGTCACTAGCTCAACCATATTAGCCATATAACTGCAAAACTTTTCTCCCTAAAATAGCCTTAACTTTTATCATATTTAAAAATATTCCCTTTTTGAGCATATTCATAAATAACTCAGTCCGCTTTGCTCTAGGCTGAATTCTATCAGTCAAGTCTACAAGGTGGCCACCATGCTAGGTGGCTAGCCATCATGGTGCTCATTGCCTCCAATCATTTAATAACAACAATTCTGGGTAGTGCACAGCAACGGTAAGGTTTCTGACTGCAGCACTTTGTGATAAGGGAGCGAATCTCAGAAGGAACATGAGTTTTTTCAAGACTGCGGATACACCTTGCTGACGAGTGCCAACAAACATGAAACCCTGTGTCGAAGGCTTCCTGCTGATTGCCTTCAACCATCTAATAACAATAATTCAGTTTTTTTATTCGTGTTTTGTTATCGGTACTTTCAGGTTAAATAAGAAACTGACTAAGCGCGTAAAACAGCACATGGAGTTTAGTAAGAATGATTAGGTGTTACATGATAACACCACATCTACTCTCTTAGAACCGATGGGTCAACGTTATAGGAAAACGCAACTATATTTCCTTGATTTTCAACAGTATCTACCAGTTACTGAATGAAACAACAGGAGATTCGTCTTTCATGAAAACTACCAGATGACATGCTTCTAATAATCGGTTCTGACAAACTGACATCATTCCTCAACGTGTATAGCATAATTAGATGTCATGGTAAGCACTGTAGTTTTGAAAATGAATTCACTAGGCTTGGAGTTTAAATTCAAGTGAATAAATATGCGTAAAAGTGAAGGATACAGGACCTGATGATCAGCAATGTATACAAAATAGATTTTCTGTTATTTTTATCAAAGCGATTTAGAATTTTTCACAATACGAAAATTAGTATGATTCAACATTTCATATTTAATTATTGTCTACCTACCTTAAGAAATCATAGTAACACTTTAACGTGGTTATATGAATTGTTCGGTTAAAAATTAATACTTTCTGTTAAAGTTTATTACAAGCTTATCCGTTGGAAGTATTTAATGACATAATTTCATTTCATTTTTTTTTTGAATATTTTTAGTCCCTCTTAATGTCGGTGAGATGAAATAATCTTCTTACTTCAAAAGAAACCTTTTTCAGTATTTAAATCGTCCTTCTGGATATTGCTTCGACGATGTATCTCATTTCCTTTGTGTGTGTTTCCCTCCAGCCCCCAAGTTTTATTTCAAAGTACTTCATAAAGTTTTATTTCTGCCATTCTTTCTTACTGAGATCGATTCTGTTCTTATAATTCTCCTTTTTTCTTTTCTTTCATTCAACCCGCCTAACTAATCAAGTTAGGAATTTCAAATATTACACAGCATTTGTCTTTTAGTCGAATCAATCACTTCAGTATGTTTTGATCAATAATGATTCTAGTTATCAAACCTTGTAATGAACATTAAGTTGCATTAAAAAATATAGTTCAAATGATTAGCATGTTTTAATTTCTTTAGAGTCCCCTTTGTTTATCTGGTAGATTATGATTACACTCAAGGAGTTACATCAACTGTTGTATTGTTGAATTTCCAGCTCACTATTCAGTCTACCTTTCAAAAATTTAGATATCTTGCATCCTTTTCTAAAAATACATATATATATACATACACATTAGAATAACACCAGTTTATTCACTTATAAAAACAATTACACAAGAAACAAAATCACATCTACCTATTACTAGTTCATGTATTATGTTATTACAGGTTTGTTCAGTTTGAGAATAGAAAAACCCTACACTACTTTTTTCTTTTTATTTAAGTAGCTCAATCATTTTTCCCTGAAGTGTTTCTATTTTCGAAATGTCAATAAATTCATTCTCGTATGTTGTTTTCTTTTCTGATTTTGTTTCCTTTACGAGAATGTACCTTTTTTCAAAACCAATATGGATGTAACCAATTTCTTTGTTAGATTTAGAATAATTATTTCTTTATTAATTTGATTGTAGCAGATGAAACAGTATTTCAATGTAAT